CTAAGATCCTTAATTCTACTAGCAGAGGATGGTGCTGTTGGGCCACCAAATCTTACATGTTCCCTGTGGCAGCATGCAGGTTGGGATGCCAGTTGTGTGAGAGCCAGCTGCCAAATAACTGGGAAACACATCCTTGCCAAACATCTTCCCCCAAAGCTGTTTAATCTCTTTACTAATCTCCACCCTGCAGCCTTCTGGCACTTGCAAGCAACATCAGAAGCTGGTAAACAGAGGGAAAGCATAGTAGTACTTTGAAAAGATGCATAAAATTTCTATAGCATGCTTTTTGCATCTTGCTTGCAGAGCTATCCTATCAATGGTGCCCACCACACACTTGGCAACATCCATGCAGGGTGGTGGTAGCAACTTGGAAAGGCAGGTTTCTCCCCTGTGCTGCAGAAGGGAATGAACATCAAGAGGGGATGTGACTTGCCTGAGGTTAGAGCAAATGTGTACCACGTGCCAACAGCAGCAAGGGAACCTAGATCTCATTTCTGTGCTCTGAGTCCAGCAGACTCTCCGCAGTAGTATTTGGCTGCAGTGCCACCCTGGGGACGCTGTGTTTCTGGTGTATGCATCTGAAAGCGAGCTTTGCTCCCTGCTGGTATCAGCACTGTACTGAAACAGATTAACTCGGACAACTGGGATCTGCCCTAGGCCAAGACAGCACTTGGCAACCTTTTAGTTACTGCTTGTTTTCCTTTTCCTGTCATTCCATCTGGTGCCCAGCTGGGTCCTTCCTTTCTTCAAAAGCATCTTCATGTTTCTGTTGAGTCACATACAGGGCGCTGTACTTTTCAAGCCTCCTGCATGCTGTTGTACAGCTTGCAGGCCAGCCCGAGGACAGACTCTGCATGGAGAGGAAAGGGTTCTGCTCCGGATCACAGACCAATGTGTCAGCCAGCACACAGCTGAGCAGAGCGGGTGCCTCCTTTTGGGAAAGGAGCTGGACAGACAAACCAGAAGCAGCTGAGTCCATCCTGTCCAGGGGGGAGCATCCTGAAGTCCCTTTTGAAGTCCATGCAGCAGGCTTGGCCGCCTGCTTTTGCAGTCACAAGGCATCTGCAGGCAAGACAGCCAGAACAGCAGAGCAGACCCAATGGCCAAGTGTATGTGTAGACATGCAGCAATGTCAGATATGATCCAGTGGCTGTTCCAAAGGTTGGCTTCAAGATATGTCTGATAAGACATTAAATGAGCCTTTGGGATGGTCACATGGACATCAGCCTCCTTTCAGCATTTATTATTATACAACCACAAGAAAAGCAGACTAGACCATGCTATCTAAAGACCTTCCTCAACACTAGGAGGATGTTCCTCCTCACACAGACATCTGGAAATGGGGAATTTGCAGACTGGAGAGACAGAGTTGAGTGCTGAGACCCTGGAGTTCAAAGCCAGCTCACATTAAAGGGCAAAATTAACATCTGAAAAAAGGAAAGGACTTGCTTAAACTCAGGTAATTTGGTGACTAAAATTACATAAAATCATAACAAAAAGCCAGCCTGACTTTAGGAGGCATCAAATGCAAATTTCTTTGTGGAGGCACCAGCATCAATATCCTTAAATCCTATTTGCATGGTAATTTAGATGGATAGTGATGCAGCCCTTCGTACTCCATGGTGCTCCTCCCCTTGGTATTCTGTACAACTTTGGACTCAAAATGGGGCCTGATAAGACCATCTGGTTTGGTGCAAAGACTGGAACAAGGAACAATTTGCTTTCTTGTGTGCAATCTGCATTTAGGAGAGTGCCCAGCAGCTCTGCAGATGTTAGGACTTTATAATGCCGCGACAGAGTCGGGGTCGGTGCTCTTTGCTTTTGCCTTCTCCAGGCCATGGTGGCAGAGACTGGTCTAAGGAGAGCAGTGACAGAATGGCCATGTATCTTTACACCTTCCCAGGAAATCGCCACAGCGTAACCTCCAATGAGGGCACAGGGAAAACATTCTGGCTGAAGCAAAGGTCTGAACACGAGACCAGGCAGGGGGAGACAGCCCAGTCTGCAGTTAGTACATACTGATGGGCTGTCCACCATATTCCATAATGAGCCAACAAACGTGCCGCATGGTCATAACCTGCTTAAGGGGCTGCGGTTCAGAAGGGTTAGTGTTCAATTTTCTACGATAGCCACATGTGCATTGCCTTAATCCATTCAGCCTTCCTGATAATGACCCTACACAGGTAACTACTTTTCCCCACCCTTTCTACTTTATTCCCCTAATAAAATATATGAACACAAAGCATAGAGAGGAGAAGCCAAAAAATTGCCATTTTATGGTCCCGTACTGTCATGCCAAACTAGCTATTTGTGCAACCAGTTCCTGTGCAGAGGGAAAAACACTTGGCTTGTGCTTCAGTCTGTATTTGGAGAAAGCACTGGGTTTAAGATTTAAATTTATCTCCCTCACTCCCTAAAGGGTTGTGCTGGAAGCAGATGCACATCACACAATGCAAAGGGCTGAGGGCAGTTGCAGGGTTTCAGGGTTGAGGAATGCCTCAGGGCACATGGCAGGCAAAAAACAGCAGCAGGGGCAATAAGGGGACTTGGTCGTGGTGCCATGGGGCCGTGGTTATCATGGAAGGTCTGTCTTTCAGAGAGGAGGTGTTAACCCTGGGAGATACAGTGCCAGCAAGCCTCAATCTCTCTTCGACCAAACATGATGGCAGCATGACGGAGACACGTGGGACCTGCAGTCCTCCATGGCTGACCCATGTAAACAGATGGCTTGTTGCTCTAGCAGGCACACTGAAATGCTCCAAGCTCCTGAGAAAGGGCTGTGGGAAAGGCTGAGCATGTGCAGCCTGGCTGGAAGGCACAGAGACTGACCCAGGAGGATAAATGCAATGAAGATGTTGCATGGTACCAATGCTGAACTGCGAAGTCCCTCTTTAGAAGAGTGAAAATTTAAAGACTTGGTCATGTCCTATAGGATTTGGTTTGACCATGGTGTTTCTGTTAGGTTTTGACTACATTCCTTATTAAAAAAAAGACTCCTTAAGGAATGTTTTTTCCTCTTTTATCTTTTCTCTCTACACAGAGTTGTTAGAGCTCTTCTCCCGAGCCAGATACTTGCTAACCTCAACCTGAGCTCGCACTGGAAAGCAGGCACACAAAGGAAGAAGCAAAGAATTGGAGACCTGATGCTTTGTGCTTCTTTAGAAACATTTTTTAAATACTCCCCCTCAGCACTACCAGGTGGTGAGAAAGCGCGAGGAATTCACTTGAGGAACACTATTCCTAGAGGAGCTGGCAAGTTAACCAGCAGTACTGCATGAGGAGGCAGGGATGCTCAGTAAACAGCACCACTCAGTCCTCTTTCTATGGCCTGAAGCGAGGGTGGCAAAGTGCTGTTTTAGGTGGGGGGAGTGGGGCAAACATAGCTTTAACAGTTGCCCATAGCAGCCAGTGAATAATAAAGACCAGGAATCTTGTGAGCCTGCTCTTTTGCTCACGCTGTGGATGGTATCGTGCTTTGTGCTGCACAGAGTAAAACTGCAGGTTGTTAAATAAATCTCCTCCTAATCATGAACAGGACTTCTTAAAGACTCAGCTTACTTCATGTAGATTTCAAATGGGGGATCTGTCTGTCGGAGTGGAGCTCAGGCTCTGCTTTGTGACTCTGGAGTTCTGATGGGAAGCTCAGAATTGGCTTCACTTTTTCCCTTCCCTGGGCTAATAAAGCACGTGATGATGCAAAGCAGGTGGTCCTTCCTCCTGGCAGGGCAGGAAAACACATAGTCATGCCTACGGCAAAAGATTTCAACACCAAGAAAAATGTCAGCCCATCCCTCACCTGAGCCCTACGTATGCTGAAGCCAGCAGGGTAAGACCAGCCAAAGAGAGGACATGTTTCCTAATTCCAGAAATGATTTTGCATTGGTGAACTGGCAATTCAGTCCAGGAACCTAATGTAACACCAGGTTTCCTGACTATTCCAGCACCAAATAAACACAATTGCTCCCAACATGGGACAGCTCTAACACAGACCAAGCCTGGTTCACAAGTGGGCAGAGATGGGATAAACAGTAGTTTCCTCTCATGGTTGTTTTTCAGCTGAAGCTGTTCGTAATCCTGGTGTTGCTGAAAACTCCCCTAAAGTCTGACTACACCACACCGATGCCTTCAGCATTAACAAATCTCTCCCACAGGCACCAAGAGACGCAGTGTCAAGAGAATATCAACAGTCGAGCACTGTAAAAATGTACTTTCTTCAACTAGCTTTTCTGGCACTGACCTTCATACTGTGCAGCTCTAGTCCTGTCTCATGCAGGATTCATTTTTTCTTAGTTGAACAAAGTAAGATTTTTGGAAGCAGATGGGTCTCATGAGAATTAAGTATAGGCTCAAGTCAGTATATGTCACTGGACTGAACTCAGGAGTATGGTATTCTTGGGCAAGGACTGAATCCCTGAAGAGCACAGATGGATTGCAGATCGAATCTGATGTGTTTGGTGACAATTTAATGTGGAGCTAAGGGTAGACTGCATCGGATATATGACTTGACAGCTCTAGCTAGTACTGACTCACAGTGAAATGCCACCTATTTGTCCTCTTTGCAAGTGAATGAATTGTGTCATGCTAGTTCTGGCTAGCCTTGCCATAAGAAAGGCTGCCCTGCACTGTTCCCATTCCTGTGCCCCAGTTACAGCATCATTTTGGTTACACAAATGAAACAGGTTTAGTGAATGAATTAAGAACTGACCCCCTCTCAATGGTAAAACCCCTGACACCTCAGACTCACCCCTGATCTCACAGATGGATTGGTTTTGGTGGGCAGGATTACCTGCAGCCCCATCTGACCCTTCCCATTCTGGAACAGACACCTTACAAAACATCCCCTGTGCCTACACAAACCAAGGAGGTATCTCTGGACCCCTCTGCATTCGCTCTCCAGACCAGTCAGCTCTGCCAGGCACTGCCTGGCACTTTGAGCAACTTCTCTTTTGTTTAACCATAGTTTAAAATAACTTATCAACCAATCATAAAATGAATTTTTTGGTTTCTCCTGGCTCCATGAACACAAAGAGGTGCACGTCCTACCATAGGAGGAAGCAATGGCTGTTAAGTTTTACAGTTATAGTGGAAAGCACTGATCACAGCCTGCCGGCCTCACTACTGGATGTGACAGGCGGTGGAGGAGGTGGCTTGGCAACACATGCAGGTAGGGTTGACCGATTTAGGGGGGATTAGGTCGAGGTCCTCGTCATCTGGGATCTCATCTAACCGGTACCCATCCTTTAGCAGCTGGATGTTCAAGTCTTGGTTGATCTGCTACAGACAAAGAGACAAACAGTCAAACACTTAAGACTTCCTGCTTCTGATGGTCAGAAGATGAAGGAGGTCCCTTATTCTGGAATATATTTTCCCATCATTAGCAGCTGCCCCACCACTGAAAGAATCCCAGTTTTGACTCTTTTGACAGGTGAGGGCTGCCTTCTCTTCTAGCTTCTTCCAGGATAGGAATATCTAGACTGTGATATTCCAGAGCAGCAAGTGAATACACTATTTTATTCTGGAATAATCTCTCCATGAAGACAAGCCCTCATTTAAAGTAATGTAATAATATTGTTAATAAACCAACTGGCAGCTGGGCAGTCCCTCCTTTCAGTCTGGGACACTCTGTTGAAAGGTGGTAGAGCCTCTTGGCTCTTTGTAATCTCAGATTCAAGTGCTGTCTAACCAGATCTGGGTGAACAACACTTCACCAAGGCCCAGAGATGGCCCAGATCATTTGATCTGGTCCCTGCTCTTGGCTGTTTCTCTGTGTTTCAGATGTATTTTTCCCAAGGAGGGATATAGGGGGGATGAGTTCCCAGCAGCTTGTGTGCTCAGCTCCCTGGATGTAAAATGAGATCCTGCAGAAGCAGTAGCCAGAGACTGAGCAACTAATTCAGGAGAGAGCTTGGGAATATATTCAGAAACAATGCAGAGGATTTAACAAGACTGAGCTTCCTGCCTTTTCTCTTTCACAGGGCAAAAGTTCATATCTGCAAGTCGTCCCTGGAATTTCTGCGGGCTCCAAGTAAACACGCACTGGGTGACCTTGACCGCCCCAAGAACTGGAAATCACAGCACACCTTCAGATCCTTTATTTGTATCCTTGGCAAGAATATGGTTGCTGAACTGGCATGACAGACAAGTTGATGCTTTTGCACCACATGGGCCAACACTGCAGGACTAAGCAGAACTGTGAAAAGCTTCAGTGAAGCCAAAGGTAGCTGTGAAAACAGCTGATGGGAAGATTTCTGTGCCATGGCAGTGCAGGGATGGAGCCAACTGGATCACCAGGGAAGAAAGAAACATGACAGTTTCTGCCATGGCCCCTTCCAGACTTGCAGTGTCTACACCACTGGTAAATTCGTTGTGTAGCCATTTCTGGCAGTACAAGACCACTCTAAGCTGTTTCTGGTTGCTCTACTATTAGCATTCATGGCAAGGATGGCAGGAGAGAGTATAACTCACCTCAGCTGATGAGTATCCCGAGGAGGAATATCTGGACATGTCAAAGTCATCATCACTGCAGGGAAGGACAAGATATATAGCAAAGAAGGAAACAGTTAGACACACCTGTATTCCCTGGTTAGTCCTATCTTTCTCGTGCCATGAAGCTGCCCTTGAGGCACAGAGAAGTTATATCAAGGGAGCCTGGAGAGCAACTTTCATCTGTGACCCTCAGATCTTTCCATAACAGTGCTCTTTACTCACGTCCGTTCCTACTTGTTTACACACACATACCAGTTCAGCATATGCCAAACGGCACAGCAAGAGAGAGCAAGAATGGCCTGCAAGAGTGGTGTCAGCAGGAGTTAGCTCCAGTGCTGCACTCTGGCATGAAAATGCACTTGCACCGTAATGTATATCATCTTATTAACACTTTGCATACCTGTCCGTATCCAGGGCAACGAGTGGCTTTTCATCTGGACTCTGGTCTAATGACGAATAGCCCTTGTTTGGAACGACGAGTCTGAAATAATTAAATGTTCTCTGTTAACCACATAGTAAAGCTCAGTACCACACATAGTCTAGGGTAAAGCTATAAGATAATTTGGCTTCCCCTGTTTCACTTCCTGGCAAGCCCTCCCTTATCGGTCAAGACATTTAAATGGGTGCAATTCAGAGGAAGCTATCTGTGTCCCTGGGTAGCTTAGAGCAGTTTCACAGGGATGAATGCTAGACATGCCTTGGGAACATGCTCCTCCCTGGAAGAAAAAAGCATTGGTACACTCTGCACTTCATTCTGGTGAACCCGTTTGGCTAGCACTGCTTGTTGTATCAGATTGTTCATTTTTGTGTTGCTTTTTTTTCCTAGCAATGAGTACGTGACATGAGCAATAAGTAAATAGGAGAAAGAGGCTAGGGGAAGGCAGAGACTCAGTGCTCCTACTATTCTACTGTTGGAAATCAGGGATGTGGTCTTTTCTGCCTGAGTCCCTACCCAGCCCCCATCAACAAAACACTGCTGAGGTCTCAGTCCTAAACTTAGTAATATGAGAAATATGAGCTGGTGGGTGCAGCTTAAGAGCCCAGTCAGACTAGCACTTTTTAAATCCCATTATTTTATAATGATTTTCTTGTCATCAGAAGTGTTACAAAGGCTGACGATGACTTTGCACCTTTAATTGCCTGATAGAGTTTGTGAAATGGAATACAGGCTTCAGAGCTTCTAGGATAAGGAAAATGCATTAATACAATGGTATCTAGTTCACAACAGAGTTCTTTCATCCACAAAACTGCACAAAGACTTTGGTTCATGTTTAAAATAAGATCAACCAAACTGAGCAAAGAGAATTAGATTCTATGTTCATCAGGTGGGAACAGTAAGAGTGATTAAAATCTCCTCGTTCACTGGGTTAACTCAGGTTTTCTCCCAAATGAAGAACTGGTCTTTAACAACACACAATGATGCACAATGATGCTTCACTAAGAGTTTGGGAAATACAAATCTAAAGATGATAATCCACCTCATCCATGCTCCAACTGCTCTCTAACTACCTGACATGTTTTTCTGCTTCTGCTCAGAAAGTTTCAGGAAGCAATTAAAATTTTAGCAATACAAAGGCCTGCCAGGCACTGAAGATGGGGAGGCTCATGAAGGGTAAAATACATCAAATGTTATCAGAAAGCAAATACATAGGTTCAGGACTAGTTGTATTTTCTTACTATGTTCACTGAAATGCAAGATTAAAGAAATTAATTTTAAAGCTGACGCAGAATTTCCAACCTGCTGCACCAATCCCCACCTCGCCACAACCTCCCTTCAGGAGGTTGTGGAGATTGATAAGGGCTACTCTCAGCCTCCTCTTCTCCAGGCAAAACAAGCC